GGCAGGAGAGCGTCCAAATGGAAACTGAAAAATTAAGGGCACGCTAACAGACAGACAGGCAACACTTTCTGCCCAAAGTTCAGAATCTTTTGTATTCCCATCTGCTGCTTGAAAGCGTAAATATTAAAACATTCAAACCCGTAATTTTACTTATGGTTTTGCACAGGTGCGAAATTTGTTCTCTTACGTTAAGGGAAGAACAGGGACTGGGGGTGCTGAGGAGAATGTCTGTACCCAAGAGGGATGAAGTGACGGAAGGGTAGAGAAATTGCATAATGAGAAGCTTCGTAATTTGCATGAGCGGCATGAGAAATGCGTGCAGAATCTTGGTTGGGAAGCCTGGAGGGAAGAGACCACTTTTGAAGACCTCGGCGTAGTGGGAGGATATTATTAAAATTGATCTTAGGGAAATTGTTTTGGACAGTATGGATTGGATTTGTCTCAGCTTCTCAAATTTGATTTAACTAGAACGACGGTACACCAGAACACACCTGACACACACACACACACACATACAGTTTGAGCGGCGGACGAATATATTAACTCGTGTAAAAAGAATTATATTCTGCAAAATAAATCGTTTTTAGTGGCGCAAAAACACATTTGGTGCAGAGAAAACGCACTTGCTAGAGGGCAGTCGTACTGAGCGGTCAGCCAACAGGTTCGTGGTCAGTGGCGTATAGACAGTATGAGGGTAATGATCGGACATATTTGTACGTATTCGTTGGTTGACAAGGTCGCGGGTAGTTTACCTCCACGTCCCCTATACACACTTCTGGCGCGACGTTAGTTTCACCCCACCCTACCCTAAACACCGGCGAGCGGCGGGTGCGTTTACTGCCCGCGGGATGCAGATTCGTTTGGTGTTCACTGCGCGTAAAACAAACCCACTCGTCCGTGACGAGTGGAAAATCTTTTAATTTTCCGTTTTTGCTGTATTCCACGTGTGTGCCCAAAAGTGAATTCGTTCCTGGCGTGGCTATGAGGGCCTTTGTTTCACTGACGTTTCGAAACGTCGAAAAGTACGGGGAAAGAAGAGTTGCCTGTTGTTTTCTTCTTCAACAACTACCGCTACCAGTGACCCACCTCTCCACTGTGTAGGTCAGACTGGTGTATGTCTTAGGCTGGAACAAAAATGAAGGCTCCACGATAAACTGCCTATAGGCTGTGGGCGACCACGTGACACCTACACCGTCGCTAAGCAACGGATAAACAAGTGTGAGGGGTGGGTCACTTGCTCCTGACAGAGCTTGTTTCGAACCCCGGGCAGGCCACAGATGTTTGTGCAATGGAATTGACAGGTTACAAGAGGAGAAACTCAAATGCAAACTACCGGATGTTAACAAAGCTGGTATCTTTTATTCCGGGATATCTGGCTAGAGTTAAGTTTTGTGTTGGTTTAGCGACGTTTCTGGGCTATCAAAAATGACCACGTTGAAGGGTTTCGTGTACCGCGTTTATTTTAGCCTTTCATTTACCCCTGCTGGCTCGTATGCC